TCCAGCAACGCAAGCACACGGCAGGTCATGCATACGCTTCCTCCATCCGAATCCCGATGGAGCGACTTGGAATCCAAGCCACGTCGTGAATCGAGAGTCTTGGGTGCGTCGTCTTCGCGGTACATTTCCGTGGCCCATACGTCCCCACCGTTGATACCGAGTACGAGCAACAGCGTTGTCGTTCGCGAGCAGCTCTTGTCGACTTGGTCGACCCATGATAGCGTCAACGACGACGATGTGAACCAGCGCCATCATCCCGTCGTCCCCTCGACCTCACATTGGCCATCTTCCGTGGCTCAATCCTTCGACTGGAAGCTTGAACAAGACGCACAAGATTTGGAGGAATTCGAGTCGTTGGAGCAGCAACTCTTAGAGCAACACGAGCAACTCGCGACGTCAACCGACCACTGGGATCCGGGCGACTCCTCCCCGTGGACACTGCACCAAGAAAACGAGCGCCGCGACCTTCTTGCTGAGCTCGATGCGTGGAGTCGGGAGGACATCGCTTCGAACGCTGCCCCGCCGCCTCCGGCGCTACCGGTGTACGATTCAGCCAAGCAACTCAACGACACTTTGTCCAACCACAGCTTCATGTGCGACGAAGGCGAACTGGGCCATCAATCTTCCATTCTGCCACGCTCTCCAGGCAGCCATGTCCAGCAGGACAAGGAGCGCAGTTTAGACATGAGTTTTGCCGACTCGGAGCCGTGGGACGACCCAAGACCACCATGTACGACCAGCAACTCGGAGGGCGCTGCACACCAACTCGACGCTTCAACAGGAGCCCCGACCAAACATGGCGAAGTCACCACGCCCGAACCTAAATATGTGGAAGCGTCCTATGTCCAGCAACGGTTCCAGCAAGCTGCCGCCAACCGAACGCTTCCACCTCCGTCTTCATCGCTTCAAACGCTCAAGATGAAACTCAAGCAAAAGGTGGCAGCATCAGCAGGGTCAAGGTCGAAAAATGGGTCGAGTGGTGGTGCCGCCAAGACTGCAGCGAAGACCAATCCTTCGCATCCGTTAGGAAAGCCCAAAATGGACAAACCGCATCCGCCGATTGCGGCGTCGTCGACCCCCGCGGCGGCGTCTCCACTCTCGTCGAGGCTTCCTCACTACTCGCCCGCCATTGACGACAAGGTAATTCGCTCGCATCCTCGTCGTCGTGGCCAACATGTGAAAAGGCCTTTGTTTGCCTTGGTTTTCATCGCATGGTTTGGGTGGCGTGTAGTTGCAGGAGCTGGAACACGAAGTCAAGCATTACAAGCATGAGACACTCAAGCTGCAGAAACGGCGGGAGGCTCTTGAAGCCGACCAGCGCAAGTTGGACCAGCAGAGGCACGAGTGGCTCGAGGAAAAGCGAAAGGCCCAGGACGACATCGACGCCGAGTGGAAGAGGATTCGAAAGGAGCGGCGAGCAGTCGACCAAGCGCTCAAATTTGGCGGCAGCCTGCCCGACAGAAAGGAACGTGCCGAAATCGACGCGCTTAAAGCTCAAATTGTCAAGTTGCAGGTGCCGTCGACATAAACCATCCTCGCGGCGGTGGCCCGCGTTCGTGACAGTCTGTGGGTAGATGGACGACCGAACGAAAACGTCGAAACACAAAGCCGCGACCGACTTTTTCAGGCATCGAATCGCGGTACTGTCGCAAGTCCAGATGGAAGCGATGACGTTGCATGGAACTGTGTAGGAACTCGAGATGCGAAACGACGAACTTCGCGACGAGTTGAAGTTTATGGAGCAGGAACGGCTGGCCAACTGGGCCTGGGCCAACGAGACCCAGCCAGACAAGCGGCAAACACGCCATTCTCTCGACTCTCCGATCGCGGGTGCACCGACGACAGCGGCTCCCGTTCAAAGCCGCGTGGCGCGAACCAAACCCCTCAAGTCCCATGGCAAAAGCTGGGGAGATGACGACGTGTACAACCCGGCGCACTACCAAATGCCCGCGCCGGCAACATCCCACACGCCGCAGGACGTTCTTGCAAGCCCTCGAAGCAGAAGGAGCAGTTGCGATGATGACGCAGACTCCTTGCACAAAGGCATGGACGACGCTGAGCAAGACGGCGCCTCTCCACGTCGACACGAGGGTGCTGAAAGACCGGCTTCGTCGCCCCGCGTCGCCAAGGTACGCATGTGGAGCCTGTGGCATGCCACGACGTAGCTGCCATGTCAACTTGACTGTGTTGCTAGGACGGGAAGACCGACGACTGGGAAGAAATCCACCACGCTGGCGGCAAAGTCGAGCGGCGGTTTTCGTCGGGCCCGATTGCCAAGACATTTCGATTTGCAAATGGCACGGAAAAGGACGTGTTTGTCGACGGGCATTCGGTCGTTCGCTTCTCGAATGGCGACGTCAAAGAGGTGCGTGTGGGCCATTGATGTCGTCGAGTGCGTTTTTGGCAATGTCGTGCTCTCACCCTGCGTGGCTGCTTAGAATTACCCAGCAGCAGAAGGCGGCAAGACGGTCTACTATTATGCCGCGGCCCAGACGCGCCACACTACGTACGCCGATCAGACGCAAGTGTTTGATTTCCCCAATGGCCAGGTCGCGTCGATGGTGATCGATCATGGGGACGGCGGCTTAATTGCGGTGTGCGGTAGGTCGAGAAGCACCATGCGAATGGAGCGAAAGAAATCACGTTTGTCGATGGGACGACGAAGCGCATTGAAACGAACGGAGACGAATGGAGCACGTTTCCAGACGGCACTCGCATGGTCGAGAAGAAGTCGGGATTCCGCGAAGTCATCAACCCGGACGGAAGCAAGGCGAGGGATTACCCCGATGGCCGCACGACGTGGGTAACCCCCCAAGGCGTCGAACAGCCTGTGCAATACAAACGATCGACGGTTTAGCCTCATTGCACGATGACTGGTTTTGTGCGCGATGCACCGGCCATGGTCTGCCCATCGCTGGTCTTTGGACCAGGATGTGAAAGCTTTCGACACCTAACAAACGCAAAGCGCGCTGGGATGGTGGCGTTGTGCAGGTTGTGCTGGCCGGGATGGGTAAGGGCGCTAGATCAAACAGCTACACACCGGCACGAGCCAGACGTCAGCTGCATCGCGATCCGAAGACGGATGGGATGTCAACTTCATGCTATCCAAGTGGCGTTTGCTGCGTCCTCGTCCCCACGAGAACCAAAACGAATCGACGACCGCCGATGGCCAAAAGAGAAGGGTCGCCACGAACGACGAAGCACGTTCATGTGCCATTTCTCACACATCCACGACTGCAGGCATTTCAATCATACCACAACATGGGAGTCTCTGCTGGCATCTGCCAAGACGTGCACGGAAGAGAGGGAAGACGAGTCCCCAGAAACTCCGCTCTCGACGCCCGCGCGCGAACCCACCGTTCAATCCAGTTCATCCCCGCACGACAGTCGCGCAAGTGGGCGACACATCGCAGATGTATGTAGGTCGAGTGAGCGCCAATGCCTCGTTGGCAACCGTGTAAACCTTCTCGACAGTAGCGCCACGGGCTCGCCAATCCACCGTTCGCGTCGAGGGTCCACATTGTTGGGAGCATCCGATTTGGCTGAGTGCATCTGCGGAAAGAGCCACGGGGAACAAGTTTGAGGGATCGTGACCGCGCTCATGGCTGCTGCCGCGCTGAGCTGAAGAGCGGTTGGTCTCGATCGAGTGGGCAAACCAATTTCGTTCAAGAGTTGGAGGTATAACCAACGACCACCCCTTGGGCTCCCCAGCTCTACCGCCTTTGTACGACTCCAACATGAACGTTCTAAGTGGGTCCTTGCGCCGTCCACATGCCAGGCAACTACACGCTTTCATTGCATTGTCCAGCAAACGCATCACGTCGACTTCAAAATGTATGCCACGCATTGTTCAAAGTTCTCCTGGGGTCGCAGCAGTCGAGTCGACATTACGTGCCCATCGCGTCGGTCGTCTGGATCTACGGCGAGCGGCGTCAGCGCCAGGTCCAACAGGTGCCACATACCCTATCGATGGACACTGCGCCTGGCGTTCGAAGTGTCTACGACGCGGCATCATGAGAAGAGTTGCTGGCGACGCAACGCACCCGTCGGCTCTCGCACGCG